ACATACTCCGTGAGCACAGATATACGGGTACACACATAAACATGCACAGACGTACAGATACACAAACATACATATGCACACAGGCCCATACAACATACACACATACTCTCAGAGGTTCCTACATAAACCCACTCTAAGTCATGTACACATATACTACCTCTTGAACACACACACGCACACACACACACACACACACACACACACACACACACACACACACACACACACATACACACGGAGATAAAATTCCACTGTTAATCTGGCACTGCACTGTTGCTCCTATGCACGTATGTTAGTGAAATGGCACTTGACACTTTGCTCTATCTGGCACTGTTAGTTTTCTCCCTACACTTGGCATCAACACAGTGACGTCAATCTTAGTATCAGAATGTGACGTCACTCGAATTTGAGATTCTTACGTCACTCGGACTCCGAAGCTGTGACGTCACTTGTATCCTAAGATTATGTCGTCACTCGTTCCCTGAAACTGTGACGTCACTCATATTCTACAATTTTGACGTCAATCGATTTTTTTTATGTGACGTCACTCGTACTCTCAATTTATGACGTTGCCCATGACGTCATCGTTGGCAGAGTGATCGCACTAAAAGTTTTTTTTTTAATCAGTGAAAGATGGGAAAAAACAGCAAAGAAACACAAACAAAGGATAGGAATGGAGGATAAAAGGGAAAGAGAGCGAGAGATAATAAGGGTGAGCGAGGATATGGCATGTTAGTACAAAATCGTTCGTTAATTAATAAAAGGCTTCGTGATAAAGGAGACAGAGAGAGGGAGAGGCAAGGGGAGGGGGGAGGGGGGAGGGAGGCAGGCAAGAGATTCTTGGTAAAATGGCGGGAAATTCTACTTTATATATTGATTTATTTTGTTTTCGAAGGCCTGTTTTTTTTTAAGATACTTTATTTGTCTTTCACTAAGAGAGGAAAGTTCTTTTTTTTTCCAAACATCATTTATTTTGTTTATTTGTCTTTCAACGTCAGAACGGTAAAGCATTTCCGTTTTCTTTACTGTTCCCGTTTTCTGTTCACTTTCGCCATGGCCAGACGCACTTCTACCTCCCAGTTGCCTCAATACCGTTAAGTAATCAATATTGTCATTTCTCCCTCCTTCATCAGTTCATCAGATACTGTCCTATTCATCCACTTGCTTGATTACACTCATTAATAACATGATATGAAGGGGCGTGTATAGAAAACGTATTTTGAATTTCCCGTTTTCTTTCACTTATTTTCTCCACTTCGAGAAAACAAATTAAAAAACGTTTTTTAAAGCCACTTCTTTTGATTAATATTCACTTATGTTCAGTTTTTCTTATTTCTACTACATATATCAAACTCCTCCTTTACCTTCCACGCACGAAAAAAAAACAAGCGAACCACCTTAAAATAGAGAAACAAACAAAAGAAACGAAAAAAAAAACACGAAAGAAAATAAAAGAGTCACACCTAGGAAACAGAAAACGGGCACTGGAGAGGGACTTGTAACAGGGAGAAAATGGACGTCTGTGAGAATAGTTTTTTTTTTTTTTTTCTCCTCTTCCTCCTCCTCTTTGTCTTCCTTTCTTCTTCGTTCTCCTTTAGCCCCCTTCTTCTCTTCCTTCTTTTTTTCCCCAAATTATCTCCTTCTCTTCCTTTCTTCTTCTCCTCTTGCTTTCTTCCGTGTTTTCCTCCAGCCTTCTTCTCTCCCTCCCTTTCTTTCTTTCACGTTCTCATGCACATTTTCTTAGTCTTTTCCTCGTTTCTTCCTTCAGCATTCGTTAAACCCCTTTTCATTTTTCTATTCCTCCTCTTCTTCTATTTTGTATTTTTCTTCCTACCTTTTCCTCTCTTCATCTTCTCTCCCTCCTTTCTTCCTTCAGCATTCCTTAAAACACCCTTTTCTTCTTCTTTTCTTCCTTTTTCCTTTCATATCCTTTTCTTCCTCTTCCTTTCCTCCTCTTTCCTTTGCACCACTTTTTTCCGTCTTTCTTTCCTCCATTCTTCCTTCATACTCCTTTTCTTCCTCTCCCTTTCCTCTATTCTTCCTTAAACACCCTATTCTTTTTCTTTTCCTTTTTTCCTTTTCACACCCCTTCCTCTTTATCCTCTTCCCCTCCTCTTCCTTCCGTCACACCCCTTTTCTTCCTCTTCTCTTCCTCCATTCTTCCTTCACACCCCTCTTTATCATTTTCTCTCCCTCTTCCTTCCTTCACACCCCTTTTCTTTCTTTTCTCTTCCTCCATTCCTCCTTCACATCTCTCCTTATCCTCTTCCCTTCCTCCTCCTACCTTCACACTCCCTTTTTTCCCTTCCTCCATTCCTCCTTCACATCTCTCCTTATCCTCTTCCTTTCCTTCTTCTTCTTTCCTCTTCCTTTCTTCACACCTCTTTTCTTTCTTTTCTCTTCCTCCATTCCTCCCTCACATCTCTCCTTATCCTCTTCCTTTCCTCCTTCTCCTTTCCTCTTCCTTTCTTCACACCTCTTTTCTTCCTCTTCCCTTCGGCTAAGACATACTATCACACAATTTGGAGGAGGCGATGGCTAGCGGCCCGACCTGACCTGGGGTGAACCGCTCGTCGTGGGCGGGGCGTGGGTGGGGCGAGGAGGCGTGGCCACGACCCAGCTGGGCGGTCTCGTACAGCTGTTTCTGCATGACAGCGAGCGACACCTGAGTGGGGAAAAAACAGGGTTATTTCATTTATCTTTTTTATTTATTTATTTATCTATTTTTTTCTGTTAAGGTGGGGGGGAGGGAGGAGGGGGAAAGAGGAAAGGAGGAAGGGGTGAGAGGGGAGGGAAGAGGGGGGGAAGGGTGGAGGGGGGAGATGGGGTTGGTTTTGGTTGGGGGAGGGCAGTGGAAAGGAGGGAGCGAGAGAGGGAAATAAATAGATAGATGGATAAATAGATATACAGATAGATAGTGATAGATAGATAGATGGACAAATACAGAGAGGGAGAGAGAGAGAAAGAGAGAGAGAGAGAGAGAGAGAGAGAGAGAGAGAGAGAGAGAGAGAGAGAGAGAGAGAGAGAGAGAGAGAGAGAGAGAGAAAGAAAGAGAAAGAGAAAGAGAGAGAAAGAGAGAGAAAGAGAGAGAGAGAGAGAGAGAGAGAGAAAGAGAGAGAGAGAGAGAGAACGAGCGAGCGAGCGAGAGAGACAGAGACAGACAGACAGACCAGACAGAGAGAAACAAACAGAGACAGACAGACAGAAAGAGCGAGAGCAAGAGAGACAGAGAAGGGATAGGAGAGAAAGAAACAGAGAAAAACAAAGTACATATATTCATTATAATCTCAAATTATCATAACATCAGCTTCAGAAAGTGTATTTGTGTAACATCACCGCAAGAATAAAAGTGTTTATCGGTGAAAAGAAATCCAAAATATTGTGCTGTTCATTATAAAAATAATAATAATAATAATAATATTGATAATAAAAATAAATTTGCAATGATACTCAAACACCTGTGACCTTCATTATAAAAAAGGGTTTTCATATCATGATATTATATTGCACTGTGGACTCGGTGGTTCATGCAAGATTATCTCTGGAGAATATATGTGAAGTTGCTCTTTTTTGTGGCAAAGTTGTTTTGTCATTTTGTGAAAGAAAAAAAAAGGCGGATGGGGGGAAGGAGGAAGTGGAAGAGAAAGAGGAGGAGGAGGAGGAGGGAGAGAGAAAAAGAGAAGGAGGAAAAAGAGGAGAGAAGGAAGAGGAAAAGAAAGGGAAAGAGGAGACGGAAGAGGAAGGGAAAGAGGAGGAAGAGAAAGAGGAGGAGGAAGAAGAAGGGAAAGAGGAGGAGGAAGAAGAAGGGAAAGAGGAGGAAGAGAAAGAGGAGACAGAAGAGGAAGGGAAAGAGGAGGAAGAGAAAGAGGAGACAGAAGAGGAAGGGAAAGAGGAGGAAGAGAAAGAGGAGACAGAAGAGGAAGGGAAAGAGGAGGAAGAGAAAGAGGAGACGAAAGAGGAAGGGAAAAAGGAGGAGGAATAGAGAGGGGGGAAGAAGAAGAAGGGAAAGAGGAGGAGGAGGAGGAGGGAGAGAGAAAAAGAGAAGGAGGAAGAAGAAGGGAAAGAGGAGGAGGAGGAGGAGAGGGACACAAAGAAGAAAAGAGGCGAGAAAGAGAAGGAAAAAGAGGGAAGGGAGAAAACGAAGGAGCGGTGAAAGAGGGAAAGAAAGAGAAGGAGGAAGAAGAAGGGAAAGAGGAGGAGGAGGAGGAGGAGGAGGGAGAGAGAAAAAGAGAAGGAGGAAGAAGAAGGGAAAGAGGAGGAAGAGAAAGAGAAGGAGGAAAAAGAGGAGAGAAGGAAGAGGAAAAGAAAGGGAAAGAGGAAGAGAAAGAGAAGGAGGAAGAAGAAGGGAAAGAGGAGGAAGAGAAAGAGAAGGAGGAAGAAGAAGGGAAAGAGGAGGAAGAGAAAGAGGAGACGAAAGAGGAAGGGAAAAAGGAGGAAGAGAAAGAGAAGGAGGAAAAAGAGGAGAGAAGGAAGAGGAAAAGAAAGGGAAAGAGGAGGAAGAGAAAGAGAAGGAGGAAGAAGAAGGGAAAGAGGAGGAAGAGAAAGAGAAGGAGGAAGAAGAAGGGAAAGAGGAGGAAGAGAAAGAGAAGGAGGAAGAAGAAGGGAAAGAGGAGGAAGAGAAAGAGAAGGAGGAAGAAGAAGGGAAAGAGGAGGAAGAGAAAGAGAAGGAGGAAAAAGAGGAGAGAAGGAAGAGGAAAAGAAAGGGAAAGAGGAGGAAGAGAAAGAGAAGGAGGAAAAAGAGGAGAGAAGGAAGAGGAAAAGAAAGGGAAAGAGGAGGAAGAGAAAGAGAAGGAGGAAGAAGAAGGGAAAGAGGAGGAGGAGGAGGGAGAGAGAAAAAGAGAAGGAGGAAGAAGAAGGGAAAGAGGAGGAAGAGAAAGAGGAGACAGAAGAGGAAGGGAAAGAGGAGGAAGAGAAAGAGAAGGAGGAAAAAGAGGAGAGAAGGAAGAGGAAAAGAAAGGGAAAGAGGAAGAGAAAGAGAAGGAGGAAAAAGAGGAGAGAAGGAAGAGGAAAAGAAAGGGAAAGAGGAGGAAGAGAAAGAGGAGACGAAAGAGGAAGGGAAAGAGGAGGAAGGGAAAGAGGAGGAGGAATAGAGAGGGGGGAAGGAGGAACAGGAGGAGGAGGAATAGAGAGGGGGGAAGGAGGAACAGGAGGAGGAGGAATAGAGAGGGGGGAAGGAGGAACAGGAGGAGGAGGAATAGAGAGGGGGGAAGGAGGAAGTGGAAGAGAAAGAGGAGACGAAAGAGGAAGGGAAAGAGGAGGAAGAGAAAGAGGAGACGAAAGAGGAAGGGAAAGAGGAGGAAGAGAAAGAGAAGGAGGAAAAAGAGGAGAGAAGGAAGAGGAAAAGAAAGGGAAAGAGGAGGAAGAGAAAGAGGAGACGAAAGAGGAAGGGAAAGAGGAGGAAGAGAAAGAGGAGACAGAAGAGGAAGGGAAAGAGGAGGAAGAGAAAGAGGAGACGAAAGAGGAAGGGAAAGAGGAGGAAGAGAAAGAGAAGGAGGAAGAAGAAGGGAAAGAGGAGGAAGAGAAAGAGAAGGAGGAAAAAGAGGAGAGAAGGAAGAGGAAAAGAAAGGGAAAGAGGAGGAAGAGAAAGAGGAGACGAAAGAGGAAGGGAAAGAGGAGGAAGAGAAAGAGGAGACAGAAGAGGAAGGGAAAGAGGAGGAAGAGAAAGAGAAGGAGGAAAAAGAGGAGAGAAGGAAGAGGAAAAGAAAGGGAAAGAGGAGGAAGAGAAAGAGAAGGAGGAAAAAGAGGAGAGAAGGAAGAGGAAAAGAAAGGGAAAGAGGAGGAAGAGAAAGAGGAGGAGGAGGATAATAATAATAACAATAACAATAGTAATAATGAAAATAATAATAATAATATAATAATAATAATAATAATAATATAATAATAATAATAATAATAATATAATAATAATAATAATAATAATAACAATAACAATAGTAATAATGAAAATAATAATAATAATAATAATAACAACAGTAATAATGATAATGACAATAATAATAAGGATAATAATAATAACAATATCAATCATGATAATTGCAATAATAACAGTAATAACAATAAGGATTGCAATGATATTAATGATAATAATAATAATAAAACTGATGATAGCAATAATGATAAAACTGACAATAATGATAATAAGAAGAATAATGATAAAAAAATAACAATAACGTTAATGATTAAACTAACAATAAGTGACTCTCCTTTTGTGCTCGTTTTATCTATATCTTTCCTTACACTCGCTTCTCTCTCATTATTATCATATTTCTCCCTGCCCTTCACTCTATTAGCAAATCAGTTGTCTCTGTAAGACGGCTGATAATTGTCCGTTAATGACAATGTCCTTGGATATTACCTACCAACTATTTTTATTCCCCGCGGCCTATACATATACACAGACAAAAACACACACATATAGAAACATTGTATATATGTGCGCATAAAACACACACGGACACATATATAGAAACACACACACACACACACGCACACACACACACAAACAAACACAACCAGAGTATAAACATACAGAAAGACACATATGCAAATTAAGAAAAGAAAAGTAATAATAATGACGATAATAATAATAATAATAATAATAATAATAATAAAATGATTAATATCCCACGACCAGTTTCTATCATAGTGACCTTAAAAATTACCATTAGTATTATTATCACAACGGATGGAACTGATGCCGTTTGTCCACCATATCCTTACAATATATATATATATATATATATATATATATATATATATATATATATATATATATATATATTTATATATGTGTGTATATATATACATATATATATACTTACTTATATCCCTTTTCTCGACTCGATAAAGAGGAGCAGGAGGCACAGGAGAGGAAGAGGAAGAGGAGGAGGGGAGGAGGATGGGGAGAAGGATGGGGAGGAGGAGGCGGAGGAGGAGGATGGGAGGCAGAGGATAAGAAGGAGGAGGAAGAGAAGGAGGAGGAGGGGGAAGAGGAGAAGGAGGAGGAGGAGGGGAAGGAAGACGAGTAGGACGAAAAGGTCAGTCAGTCATATTTGTGATGATCATCTGACCTTTTCCGTCAAGAGACAGAGGCAGTCGGACGAGTAAGAAAGGGGGGGGGAGAGGGAGGGGAGATCAATTGCCTTTTGTAACTTACGTAAAGGTGTGTTGAGCTCGGGGTGGGTGGGGGAGGAGGGGGAGGGGAGGGTGCAGGGCTGGGGGGGCGGGGGGTAGTGAGGATAGAGGCGGTGGTGGTCGGGGATGTAGACTTTGCGTGTTGTCGGTGTTATTATTAGCTTGTGACATTTTGCCTTTTGTGGAGCTTATCCGGGGAGGGGGGGGGGGGATATTACTAGATACGTTTGAGAGACGTTTCGAAGAGGGAAAAGCAGGGTGTTTTTTTTTTTTTTTTTTTTTTTCTTAACAAGTAATTTTCGTGATGCGAGTTGTTCAAAAGTAGTGAAAGCACAACTAACACACACACGTACACGTACACACACACACACACACACACACACGCACGCACAAACACACACACACACACAGACACACACACACACACACACACACACACATATATATAAACACACACACACGTTCTAACCAGAACCAATGATTCTAATTGTTAGAAAGAATATCAATGCAAGTGCATCAGAATGACAATACCAATACCAATAATCAAAGCAAAAAAAAAAAAAAAAAAGATCAATGAAACATAGTGCAGTTAACAAGGCCAACAATAACCTTTCAAAACCAAACAGGAAAATTATAATAATAATTTAAAAAAAAGGGAGAATAGTGTTTTATTCTTCAAGTCCTACCCGGGGGCCATGTCTGCACCACGGTGTCACAACGGCTACCTACTGACACTCAGCTTACGGGTGCCAGAACACTCTCGCCTACCTGTTCTTTAATCCCTGGTAAGACGGCCTGTGGCGGAACAGATTGCAATGGTCACAAAATCCGGGTGTGGGGTTGGGGGGTACTAGCGGGGGTGGAGGGGGGTAGATGGGTATATTTCCCTACAGTAGCCATAGGCCTATAACGGTATATAGATAATAATAATACATGAAGAGGAATAAATTAGGAAAAATAATATGAATAGATAGATCATTGATAATTATGATAACAAGGAGTAAAATCGAAAAGAATAGCAATGGGTAAACAATTCCTTATTAATAATAACAGCAAGAAAGATATTAATGTACGAGTATATAAATTCCTTTTTTAAGTTTTAATTCCACTCAATATTTTTCTTCATGTGAACTTATAGCAAGTAAAGATAATTACAAAGGAGATGGTAAGATACGTCCATATAAGTGTTGGAAAGAGAAGGTTGATTATAATCAATTAAAATAACCTTTAGATCAGGTTCTCCCCCCCCCCCCTCCCTCTCTTTCTCTCTCTCTCTCTCTCTCTCTGTCTCTCTCTCTCTTTCTTTTTTTTCGTATGTGTGTATTCAAGAGCAGCTGACAACTTCTGGATAATCGATAAGAAAAAAATAAATAGATAAAAACAGTAAGAGAGAGAGAGTTCATTAAAAATAGACCAAATACATTATAAACTAAACCCTTTTATAAATACACATTGACAGTGATAGAGATAACGAGCTTAAAAAAGATACCTGGATTTGTGAGTGATTTATTGGAAAAATTGTTTTGTAATAAAGAGCATATGTGATAGATCTGTAAAATGGAATTATTTATCTAAAATTTTGTGGAACGTTTTTTTACGGGAATTATATACAGATGCATGCAATAAATAGTTGATTCATATATCAACTTATCTATCTTTATCTATATATGTGAGAGTGTGTGTATATATGAATGTGTGTGTGTTTATGTGTGTGTGTGTGTATAATATATATATATATATATATATATATATATATATATATATATATATATATATATATATATATTTATATATATGCGCGCATGTGTGTGCGTGTGTGTGTGTGTGTGTGTATGTGTGTGTGTGTGTCTGTATGTGTGTGTGTGTGTATGTGTGTATATACACACAAATATCAGTCAGTCTATCTGTCTATCTATCTGTCTGCCTATCTATCTGTCTATCCATATATATATATATTTATATGTATACCCGTTGAAAAGCATATAATTTACCTTAACTATTTTTCTCCTCACTAACTAGACTCCGTTTTCTATAATACGAAAAAGAAAACAGAAATCGACCCCCAACTAAAATAAAAAAGGGAAAACCGAACCAAAAGCGAAAATATTTACATACGTAAAATTCATTGCTCCACTTCTCTGTGAACTAATGACCGTAACAAAAGGAAATGAAAACAAAGAAAGGGGAAAATATTTACGGTCAAAAACTTTTGTCACGAAATTTCAGATTTTATGTTTCGTGAATGTTGTTGTTGTTGTTGTTGTTGTCATTATTAACATTGTTGCAGTTGATAATACAGTAACAGTTGAAGTTGTAGTAGCAGTAATATTTGTTGTTGCAATAGTAGTAGAAATATTAGTAACAGTAGTAGTAGTACAACGCATTAATAGTACTAATGATTATGAGGGTGTTTAAAGAAACTCAAGTGTTAAAAAAATAATGAAAAAATAGTGATGCTGGTAAAAGGATTACAATATTAATGACACCAATTATTATATTAATGATGACAATAATAATAATGGTAATAATGATAAAAAAATAATAATAATAACAATAATAATAATAATAATAACAATAATAATAATAATAATAACAATAATAACGGCAATAGTAATAATTACAATAATGAAAGCAAAAAAATTAATAATGATAATAATGATAATAATAATCATAATGACAATGGTAATAATTATAATAATAATAATAATTGTAATAATGATAATAATAATAATTGTAATAATGATAATAATAATAATAATAATAATAATAATAATAATAATAATAATAATAATAATAATGATAATAATAACAATAATAATTATTATTATTTTTATTATTTTTATTACTATTATTACTAATATCAGTATTATAATAACAAGAACAATAATGATAATAATAACAATAATGTTAATAATGATAATAACAATAATAATAATGGCACTAATAATAATGATAATAGAAACACTAATGCTACTAATAATGATAAAAATAATGGCATTACCAATGATAATAACAGCTGCAATTATAATAACAACGAAAATGATGGTCATCATGAAAATAACACTAACGATAAGAACATCAAAACACTAACAACACCAACAACAAACACAAAACAATAACAACAATAACAAAGAACACTCAGTCCCTCCCCCCTCCCCCTCCCCCTGCCTCCTTTCCCCCTTCTTTCTTAACCCCTCTCCTCTCCTTTCCCCTTTTACCTCTCCCTCTCCTTTCCTCCTCCCTTCTCTTCTTCTCACCTTATTCGTCGAAATATACTCTCTCATGGACACCATTTCTCCCGACAGCTTTCTCTCCGTTTCAGAACCGTAGACTGAGTCAATGTCACCTTCCACTCTCTTTATGGAGTGTTTGTGCAGGCGAGAGGGCGACACTGTATTCCTTCTCTGTGCGTTTGTGCAGTTGCCTCGGGAACAGCAGGTGACGGAGCGCTGTAGGGGGGGTATGTTAAGTATTAGTTAATGGTGGTAGTTGTAGTAGTAGTAGTAGTTAATGGTGGTAGTAGCAGTAGTAGTAGTTAATGGTGGTAGTAGTAGTAGTAGTAGTAGTAAATGGTGATTAATCGTAGTAATAGTAGTAATAGTAGTTAATGGTGGTAGTAGTAGTAATAGTAGTAGTTAATGGTAGTAGCAGTATTAGTAATAGTAGTTAATGGTAGTTAATCGTAGTATTAGTATGTAGTAGTATGTAGTAACAGTAGCAGTAGTGGCGCTGGCGGTGGTAGTAGTCATATCTATTAGTGGTATGCATGTCTGTTTGTTTGCGTTGCGTGTATATGTGAGAAAGTGTTGGTGAAATAGTGGCTATATGAGTGTGTATATATACATATAAAATATGCCTTAGTAGATAGACTGACAAATAGTTATTATTAAGAATATACACTTAACAATCGATATTTCACTACAGTTGTGGGAATTCTCAAACAACTTTTTCTTTTTACACAATCACATCATCACTATGGCAAAGGAGATTCAGTAATTTCTCTGATTCTCATGACAGTATCTTCACATTTTCACGTAAAAACACGAAAAATTCATATAAACAGTATAACACTTGTAGTAATAGTAGGAGTGTGAGGTTGATAAAGAAGAAAAATGAAGATGATTAAGAAAAAGAATTAGAATAAATACTGATAATGATGATAATGAGAATGAAGATCATAATGAAGATCATAGATCATAATGAAGATCATAATGAAGATCATAATGAAGATCATAATGAAGATCATAATGAAGATCATAATGAAGATCATAATGAAGATCATAATGAAGATCATAATGAAGATCATAATGAAGATCATAATGAAGATCATAATGAAGATCATAATGAAGATCATAATGAAGATCATAATGAAGATCATAATGAAGATCATAATGAAGATCATAATGAAGATCATAATGAAGATCATAATGAAGATCATAATGAAGATCATAATGAAGATCATAATGAAGATCATAATGAAGATCATAATGAAGATCATAATGAAGATCATAATGAAGATCATAATGAAGATCATAATGAAGATCATAATGAAGATCATAATGAAGATCATAATGAAGATCATAATGAAGATCATAATGAAGATCATAATGAAGATCATAATGAAGATCATAATGAAGATCATAATGAAGATCATAATGAAGATCATAATGAAGATCATAATGAAGATCATAATGAAGATCATAATGAAGATCATAATGAAGATCATAATGAAGATCATAATGAAGATCATAATGAAGATCATAATGAAGATCATAATGAAGATCATAATGAAGATCATAATGAAGATCATAATGAAGATCATAATGAAGATCATAATGAAGATCATAATGAAGATCATAATGAAGATCATAATGAAGATCATAATGAAGATCATAATGAAGATCATAATGAAGATCATAATGAAGATCATAATGAAGATCATAATGAAGATCATAATGAAGATCATAATGAAGATCATAATGAAGATCATAATGAAGATCATAATGAAGATCATAATGAAGATCATAATGAAGATCATAATGAAGATCATAATGAAGATCATAATGAAGATCATAATGAAGATCATAATGAAGATCATAATGAAGATCATAATGAAGATCATAATGAAGATCATAATGAAGATCATAATGAAGATCATAATGAAGATCATAATGAAGATCATAATGAAGATCATAATGAAGATCATAATGAAGATCATAATGAAGATCATAATGAAGATCATAATGAAGATCATAATGAAGATCATAATGAAGATCATAATGAAGATCATAATGAAGATCATAATGAAGATCATAATGAAGATCATAATGAAGATCATAATGAAGATCATAATGAAGATCATAATGAAGATCATAATGAAGATCATAATGAAGATCATAATGAAGATCATAATGAAGATCATAATGAAGATCATAATGAAGATCATAATGAAGATCATAATGAAGATCATAATGAAGATCATAATGAAGATCATAATGAAGATCATAATGAAGATCATAATGAAGATCATAATGAAGATCATAATGAAGATCATAATGAAGATCATAATGAAGATCATAATGAAGATCATAATGAAGATCATAATGAAGATCATAATGAAGATCATAATGAAGATCATAATGAAGATCATAATGAAGATCATAATGAAGATCATAATGAAGATCATAATGAAGATCATAATGAAGATCATAATGAAGATCATAATGAAGATCATAATGAAGATCATAATGAAGATCATAATGAAGATCATAATGAAGATCATAATGAAGATCATAATGAAGATCATAATGAAGATCATAATGAAGATCATAATGAAGATCATAATGAAGATCATAATGAAGATCATAATGAAGATCATAATGAAGATCATAATGAAGATCATAATGAAGATCATAATGAAGATCATAATGAAGATCATAATAATATTCAAAACACAAACTTAATCAACTCACGTAATTTTATATTTTTTAATCATTTTTAATGTCTACCCATCATTAATCGATGTAGATGAAGAAATGATTTTTAAACCAAAGTGAAAATACCTGATTTTTCAACTTCCTTGTTTAATCACATATTCTTGATCCATAATCTTAAAAACTTATATTTATTTACCTATTTACTTATTTACTTACCCTAACTATCCATCACATATCAGCTGACTTTCAATTATCATCTTTAATTACATATAAATTTCTTTTTACCATCCTCCCTTCCCGCTTACCTGCGCCGACACAAAATCTCCGAAGCCGATGGTAGCGAAGGAGATGAAGCAGAAATAGAGAGAATCCGAGTAATTCCATTCCTCGACCTGAATGGGGGAAGAGAGAAAAGGAAGATTAGAAAAAAAAATAAGGATAGAATGGTGAGGATTGGTAAGAATGAATAGTTTCTGTGTGGGTTTTTGGGGGGAGGGGGTGGGAGGTATTTTGAATCTCTGCTTTTCTTTGTATAACATATATAAAAATTAGATACACGTTCACATACACACGCACACACACACACAGACACACACACACACACACACACACACACACACAGATATATATGTGTGTGTGTGTGTGTGTGTGTGGTTATATATTGTATTGTGATGTTTTTTATTTATTTTCTTGTTTACCTATGTTTTTTTCTTTCTGTCTGTTTCCACTTGTCAAATCGGTATCTTAAACTCTATGATGTTATAATCACTATCACTATCACTATCTATCAGTCTGTCTCGTTTTATGTCGTACCAAAACTCTGTACTTTTTTCTTTGTATTTCTCTACATCATTATTCAATTACCTCTCGTTCTTCTTTGCAATTTATTCTTGGCATAAGTGTTTCGGTGTCCGGTAACAACCTCAATAAAGTTTATGTATTGCAAGGAAATGTCCCTATTATGTAACTTTTGAAACCATCGTATAATTTAACAACACGCGTTTAACCATCATAGAAAAGTTTGGATTCGAAACCGGGTGATTTCAAAGGCTCATAATTGTCCTCACAAAGTTCCGTGGTATTTGTATGTCGACAAAGATATCATTGCTGTCATGATCATTATTATTATTATTATCATTATGATTATCATTATTATTATCATTATTATTATTATCATCACTGTAATTATCATTGTTAGTAATATTGTGATTGCTATCATTATTATCATTATTGTTGTCATTATCATCATTTTTTATCATTATCATTATCATTATTATCATTACCATTATCATTATCATTATCATTATTATCATTACCATTATCATTATCATTATCATTATCAATGGTAACATTATCTATGACAATTCCTCCTGTCATGAATACCACGACTATTATATGTATCAAAAGACCAAAAAATATTTATTTTCGAACAAAGATGACGTCATTTTAACGATAAATTTGCGGTCTTCAAGACTAACAGCATTTCACTCGTGGTTTTCAACGTCTAAAAATACTGATTGTCTCCTTAACTTGCAGCTTACTACGGTCATGTTACACTCATTAAAAAAAGACGAACAAAAAGAAAAGAAAAAAGAAAAAGAAAGATAAATATATAGACTTCACCGTTTTTTTTTTTTTTTTTCATGCGTCGCTTCTCGTAAAATGATACTTAAAATACGAGACAGTTTCTCTTATCAAATGATGTAATTGCATCATCGTCACCGTTTCATGTATGATAAAAAGAGAGAGAGAGAAAAGAAGAGGAAAAGATTATTATCATTCTTTCTGTGAGAACTTCCATTCTGCGCTTAACCTCCTTACTTAAGGCCGTAAAATTTATGCATGATTTTCTCGAGCCCAATTTCAGCTTCTGGAAACTTCTATGGGGAGAGAGAAAAAATCCTCTCGCTTTGGCACTCATTTTATGCCCTAATTCTCTCCCTCGTTTTCTTTCCATAAGGCTGAAGATATTTTTTTTCTTCTTTTTTGTCCGACATGAACTTGCAAAACAAAGAAAACGGGGATTGTGTTAAGGACAGTATTTTGAGGGTAAACTACGTTAGAGTTGCATTGCTATTTCATTTTGGTTGTGTTTAATTTTCTTACTCGCTAGTTTTAGATATGGCGATGGTAAAGGAAAGGATATCATGTACAGATTTGCAAACTTTTATGATCTCAAATTGCAAATAATATCATTTGATACGAAATCTCTCTCTCTCTCTCTCTCTCTCTCTCTCTCTCTCTCTCTCTCTCTCTCTCTCTCTCTCTCTCTCTCTCTCTCTCTCTGTCTCTCTCTTTGTCTCCCTCCTTTTCCCTTTAATTCCCCCTTTTCCCTCCCTTTATTATTATCATCATTATTATTACTTCATCCCTCTCTTACCTACTCCCTTCCACCCTCCCTTTCCTATCCTCTCTTCCTTTCCGTCTATCCTTCTACATCTCTCCTTTCCTCCATCTCCCTTTCCCTCCCTTCATTCTCTCGCTTCCCCCCACCCTTCCCCCTCCCTTCCCCTCTCCCATCCCTAAGCAATTACCTTCATGACAACAGCTCTGGCTATCGTGAGGTAAAACAACTTTCTTTTTCTCCCTCCCACCCTTTCGTCCCTTTCCTCTCATTCCTTTTTCCTCTTCCCTCCCACTCCCTTTCCCACTCTCCCACCCTCTTCCACTACACCGACCATCCACCCCCCCTTTCTCTCCTTCTTCCTCCCACTCCCTTTCCTACCTCATTCTTGCCCCCTCCCTCCCCACTCCCTCCTCCCTCCCCCATCCTTTAACACTGGTGATGGTGAGGTAAAACATCTCCCTTTCCCTCCCTAACCCCTCTCCTCCCTCCCCTCCCACCCCCCTTCCCTCATTCTCACCCTTCCATCCTCCTTCTCCCACCCTCCCTCCCACCCTCTCTCCTTTTTACCACCACTCTCCCACCCACTCCCTTTTCTACCCCCTCTCCCTCCCACTCCCTCTCCCTTCCTTCCCCCCCTTCTCCTATCCTTCCTCCCACTTTCCCCTACCCTTACCCTCCCCCCCTCCTTCTCTCCCAGCCTCTCTCCCGGCCCCCAGGAAGGCGACGATGACACTGGCGATGTTTTCCCCTCCTAACCCCTCTCCTCCCTCCCCTCCCACACCCCTACGCTCATTCTCCCCCTCTTCCCCCCTTCTCTCCACCCCCCTCTTCCCCTCCTTCCCCCTCCTCTCCCTCCCCCCTCTTCCCCCCTCCTTACCTCTATGAACATCACGGCCCCGAGGAAGGCGACGATGACGCTGGCGATGTTTTCCCTTCCTAACCCCTCTCTCTCCCCCTCTATTTCCCTCCCCTCCTTTCCCTCCCCCCTCCTCTCCCTCCTCTCCCTCCCCCTCTTCCCCCTCTTCCCCCCCTCCTTACCTCCATGAACATCACGGCCCCCAGGAAGCGACGATGACGCTGGCGATGGTCTCCCTTTCCCTCCCTAACCCCTCTCCTCCCTCCCTCCCCCCTCTTCCCCCCTCCCTCTTCTCCCTCACCCTCTCTCTCTCCCTTCCCCTCTTCCCCCTCTTCCCCCTCCTCTCCCTCCCCCCTCTTCCCCCCTCCTTACCTCTATGAACATCACAACCCCGAGGAAGGCGACGATGACGCTGGCAATGTTTTCCCTTCCTAACCCCTCTCTCTCCCCCTCCTTTCCCTCCCCCCCTCCTCTCCCTCTTCCCCCTCCCCCTCTTCCCCCTCTTCCCCCCCTCCTTACCTCCATGAACATCACGGCCCCCAGGAAAGCGACGATGACGCTGGCGATGGTGAGGTAGAACATGACCCAGTACACGGAGGGCTTCCACGCGTCCAGGCTGGAATCCTCCATCGAATCCTGGGAACCGCGTCTTCCGACCTGGCTGTTCTCTGTCGTGCCGTCTGACCCCGCCGCCGCCGCAGCCGCAGCCGCCGCCGCCGCTCGCTGTCGCTGCTTCCTCTCGTGGCGTGCTCTGGGTGGGTGAGTGGGTGGGGTGAGTGGGTGGGTGGGTGAGAGGGGGAATTGGGCGGGGTGATTGGGTGGGTGTGTGGGGTGAGTGGGTGGGTGGGGTGAGTGGGCGGGGTGAGTGGGCGGAGTGATTGGGTGGGCGAGTAGGTGGGGTGATTGGGTGAGTGGGTGGGCGGAGCGGGTGGGTTTGGAGGAGGAAGAGAGAGAGAAAAAAAATAGGTTAGGGAAAATACGTTTAATATGAGACATTATTGTCTTAGAACATCGTTATCATCATCAAAATAATAGTGATGATGATAAGAATAATTATCATTGTTATTATTATTGTTATCATATCTATTATCCTAATGATAATAATAATAATAATGATAATAACAAGAACAACAACAACAACAACAATAGTAATAATAATAATAATAATAATAATAATAATAATAATAATAATAATAATAATGATAATGAATATTATAATTTAATCATACAATGATAAGGAATAGGAATGGTGAAAGGACTAACTTTCAGAATCAAAGTGATAACAATACTGATTATGATGATGATGAAGGAAGTAATCATAATGATGGAAATAATTAGGCAAATGAAAGAAGGAAAGAGAATAAAAGAGAAAGAGAGGGAGAGAGAGAGAGAGAGAGAGAGAGAGAGAGAGAGAGAGAGAGAGAGAGAGAAGGGAAACGGATAAAAAGAGAGAGAGAGAAAGAAGGAGACAGAAAAAAGAGAGAGAAAGAGAGTGAACCCACCTCCTTTGATATTCACAAAGACTCCCCCCCTCTCCCCCCCTCTCCCCCCCCTCTCCCCCACGTGGATCAGCTGGGCACCACCACCTAGCTTTTGCCTCCATTGTGAGCCAATCTTGTGCTTTTGCCCTCTCTCGTCCCGTCTCTCCCTGCTCTCGTGTTTACGTTTGAAGAGAAAGAGGGGAAAGGAGGGAGGAAGAGGGAAAATAGGGTAGTAGGGAAGTGGGGAAAGAAGGGAGTGGGGAAGGGAGGGAGGGAAGAAGAGGGAGAAGGAGGAAGAGGGAAAATAGGGTAGTAGGGAAGTGGGGAAAGAAGGGAGTGGGGAAGGGAGGGAGGGAAGAAGAGGGAGAAGGAGGAAGAGGGAAAATAGGGTAGTAGGGAAGTGGGGAAAGAAGGGAGTGGGGAAGGGAGGGAGGGAAGAAGAGGGAGAAGGAGGAAGAGGGAAAATAGGGTAGTAGGGAAGTGGGGAAAGAAGGGAGTGGGGAAGGGAGGGAGGGAAGAAGAGGGAGAAGGAGGAAGAGGGAAAATAGGGTAGTAGGGAAGTGGGGAAAGAAGGGAGTGGGGAAGGGAGGGAGGGAAGAAGAGGGAGAAGGAGGAAGAGGGAAAATAGGGTAGTAGGGAAGTGGGGAAAGAAGGGAGTGGGGAAGGGAGGGAGGGAAGAAGAGGGAGAAGGAGGAAGAGGGAAAATAGGGTAGTAGGGAAGTGGGGAAAGAAGGGAGTGGGGAAGGGAGGGAGGGAAGAAGAGGGAGAAGGAGGAAGAGGGAAAATAGGGTAGTAGGGAAGTGGGGAAAGAAGGGAGTGGGGAAGGGAGGGAGGGAAGAAGAGGGAGAAGGAGGAAGAGGGAAAATAGGGTAGTAGGGAAGTGGGGAAAGAAGGGAGTGGGGAAGGGAGGGAGGGAAGAAGAGGGAGAAGGAGGAAGAGGGAAAATAGGGTAGTAGGGAAGTGGGGAAAGAAGGGAGTGGGGAAGGGAGGGAGGGAAGAAGAGGGAGAAGGAGGAAGAGGGAAAATAGGGTAGTAGGGAAGTGGGGAAAGAAGGGAGTGGGGAAGGGAGGGAGGGAAGAAGAGGGAGAAGGAGGAAGAGGGAAAATAGGGTAGTAGGGAAGTGGGGAAAGAAGGGAGTGGGGAAGGGAGGGAGGGAAGAGAGAGAGAGAGAGAGAGAGAGAGAGAGAGAGAGAAGGGAAACGGATAAAAAGAGAGAGAGAGAAAGAAGGAAACAGAAAAAGAGAGAGAAAGAGAGTGAACCCACCTCCTTTGATATTCACAAAGACTCCCCCCCCCTCTCCCCCCCTCTCCCCCCCTCTCCCCCACGTGGATCAGCTGGGCACCACCACCTAGCTTTTGCCTCCATTGTGAGCCAAATCTTGTGCTTTTGCCCTCTCTCGTCCCGTCTCTCCCTGCTCTCGTGTTTACGTTTGAAGAGAAAGAGGGGAAAGGAGGGAGGGAGGAAGAGGGGGAAGGATGAAGGGAGGAAGAGGGAAAATAGGGTAGTAGGGAAGTGGGGAAAGAAGGGAGTGGGGAAGGGAGGGAGGGAAGAAGAGGGAGAAGGAGGAAGAGGGAAAATGGGGAAGTGGGGGAAAGGGGGAAGAAAGGGGAGGAAAGGAAGCGACGTAAAGAGTTACGAAGGAAGGGGAGAAAAGGGAATAGAGGAAGCAAGGAAGAAGGAAGAGGTGAGGAAATGGAGGAGGGAGAGAGAGGAAGGAAAAATAAGGAGAAGGGGAGAAAGAGAAATGGGAGAAAGAGGGGAAAAGAGGAATGGAAGAAAGGGACACAGAAAAGGAGGAAGAAAAAAAAGGATGGGAGGAAGAAAGGAGAAAGAGTGTGAGAGAAAGATGGGAGAAAAGGAGTAAGGGAGGAAACAAAGCAGGGAGGAAAGGAAGAAGGGAGGATGGAATAGATAAAAGCATGAAGAGGGGAAGGAAGGAAGAGGAGGAGGAGGAGAAGAAAAGGAAGGGAGAAAAGGGCATGTGTGAGAAATAGACAGGTAGGGAGGAAGAAACGAGAGAAGGGAAGAGAGAGAGACAGAGAAAGAAAAAGTGAGCGAGCGAGAGAGAGAGAGAGAGAGAGAAGGAAAGAGATAGATAGATAGGTAGATATATAGACAGATAGAGAGATAGATAGAGAGAGAGAGAGAGAGAGAGAGAGAAGGGAAGAGATAGATAGATAGATAGAAACAGAAAGACAGACAAAGAGAGACGGAGTAACATATAGATAGGCGATACTGATAGTTATAGTAGTGATGATATGATGATATTGATATTGACATGGTAAAAATTATGATAATGATAATGATATTAGTGAAAATAGTAATAATGGTAGTAATAAGAAATAAAAAGAAATTAATAATAACAATAATAATGATAATGATAATAATAATGATAATGATAATAATAATAATAATAATGATAATAACAATCACTACAATAATACTAATATTAATGATAATAGCAATAATCACAATAACGATAATTGCAGAATATTAGTAGCAGTAACAAACACAACAACAACAATAACGACAACAACAACAATCATCCCAAGATGATCTTTACCTCATAATGAACGCCAGTAATGTTATGATCCTCTCCAAGAACAGATTGAAGAACAGAATCCCTGAAGAACACCCAATGAGACCGTAAAAAATGGAGAACATTTTGCCTTCCGTTGTTCTCGGCGACGCTGCTCCGTAACCTGGAAATAGAGAACGATTTTTAGCGAAGGAGATAACGAGAGAACTGGGCTGTTGGTGGAGTGGCATTGGTGATGAAAGGATGGTGGTTGGCAAGGATAGTAATGGTAATGGTGATTGTGATGGTGATTGTGATGATGAGGATGGTAATGATGGTCATAATGATTGTGATGATGATGGTGATTGTGATGGTGATTGTGATGGTGATTGTGATGATGATGGTGATGATGATGGTAATAATGATTGTGATGATGATGTGATGGTGAGGGTGATGATGATGAGGATAATAATGGAAATGATTATGATGATGTGGTGATAGTAAGGATTATGATGGGGATGATGATAATGGTGATTGTGATGGTGATGATGATTTGATGACCGTAATAGTGATTGTGATGATAATAATAATGATAATAGTGCCGATAATGATAATGATAATCACGACGGTAATGATGAATAATTATGATAACTATGATAATATTAATAATAGTAATACTACTAATAATGATAAAGATAACAACATGAATAATAGTAATAGTCATAATAGTAATAACAATAACAATAATGATAATGGCAATAATTGTTATTATCATTATGATAATAGTAATACTAGTAATAATAATACTAATAGTAACAATAATGTTAATCATGATTGTTATCATAATGAGGATGATGATAATGTTAAAATAATGATAAAAGATTATCTTAAAAATGATGATGCTATCAAGAACAACAATAATCTTAATAATGATAATGACAGGGATAATCAATAGAATTCCATCACCATTTTCGCCGACATTACCACGTCCTCATTTCATGCCTGTACTTAAGATGTCGATTTATATAATACTTCCTCGCCTGGTTTTACTCAACCCAAAAAGCTTTAAATAACTACTTTTGCCAACCAGTGGATCGGTTGATTCCGTGTCATGGCCTACCCACACATAAATCACTATAACCTATAATTCCCATAAAAAATAATAACAATAAAAGTACATTAATAAAAAAAAAAATATGTAAAAGAAATAAAATTCTAACAAACAAACAAAATAGTAATATCAACAACAAAAAATAATTCAAGTCTAAAAAAAAAATAAAAAAAAATAACATAAATAACAACAACAAAACTACACTTATAACAACAACAACAACAAAACCACTCATAACAAAAACAACAAAACTGCAATAATTACAAAACAACAACTACAACAAGAAAAGTAAAATTCTCACACACAAAAAAACAAAAAACAAAAAAATAGAAAAAAAGCTTGGCGAATTCAGGTCAACATTTCTCTTCCTTTTCTTCTTAATAATCTCTTCCAAGATCGGGTGCGCTTGGCATGACGTAATTTGCGAATGACCTTTGTGGAAGGGAGCCATAAGTGCTATTTTGTAAGTAGGTCGTGTGTGTGCAGATGCGTGGGGAGATTGATGGTAGAACGCCATGACCTCTTTGTATGAGTGTGTCAAAGGATCATACTGTATTCATTTTTGGTCTTTGAAAGTAATTTGTGTGTGTGTATAAATAATCTACATATATATGTTTGTATATATGTATGTATGTGTATGTATGGATGTATGTATGTATGTATATATGTATGTATTTATGTATGTATGTATGTATGTATGTATGTATGAATGTTTGTATGTATGTATGTATGTATGTATTTATGTATGTATGTATGTATGAATGTATTTATGTGTGTATGTATGTATGTATGTATGTATGTATGAATGTATGTATGTATGTATGTATGTATTTATGTATGTATGTATATATGTATGTATTTATGTATGTATGTATGAATGTATTTATGTGTGTATGTATGTATGTATGTATGTATGAATGTATTTATGTGTGTATGTATGATTGTATGTACGTGTGTATGTATGAATGTATGTATGTGCGTATGTATGATTGTATGTACGTGTGTATGTATGAATGTTTGTATGTATGTATGTATGTATGAATGTATTTATGTGTGTATGTATGTATGTATGTATGAATGTATTTATGTGTGTATGTATGTATGTATGTATATATG